TGTTTTGTAGACTTCAAGTGTGAGTTGTTGAGGAAGTCTCGCGCAAAATGCTTGTTTTGGAGACTTGGCGAATGACTTTTGGAAGATGATAAGATGTCTCGTACGCGCTCGTTTGGGAAACTTGGTGCCTGAATTTGGGAGGAAGTCTCGCATGAAACGCGAGTTAGGTTTAGAGGAAGTCTCGTGCGAAACACTATTGACCTGTGTGTGGTGGGGAGCGTAGGGAAAAAGGTTTGTGAGGGGGAGTAGGTGGTAGACATACGCCGCAGCCATTTTGGGCAGACGGTGGAATCCAGCAAGAGAAATGTGGGGAGCTGAGCAGCGTTAAAGTCGGAAGAGAGGATGGAATGGGCCGATGCAGTGGCAACACTTTTACGACCGAAGAGCGTTTAGGCTTGCGCAGAGAGGTTTTGTCCACTCCCCAGCAGAAAGGGTAGCACCAGAGCAACCGACGTGGCAGCTACGGAGCTTGGTGGTGGAGTCCCCAGCGCATGATGCCTTGGCGGTCGAACCCCCAGCGCATGATGCCCCTTGTTTGCCTGTTCATGTGGCTGACGAGCCTCGACGTTAGCGAGCTGGAGCGTGAAAAATGACACATTGAACATGTCTATTCTGCGGGCAGTCGGTTTGAATATATCTATGCAGCATACCGGGGTTAGGGGGTGGAAGAGTCATGAGTGCTAGATGGCGAAGTCTCGAGTATGTGGTACTTGTTATTGATTTATAGCTTTAAAAAAAAAGCCCAGTTTCTCATACCATGATATAAAACAGAAAAAGTTGTTTGCTTGTATTTGGGAGTGGGGCATACTCAAAAAACAATCTATTATACTGCAACTATTCGAACGTGTTTGCATTCGGGTTCGTGGGCTAAATCTTGTTCTTTTGGTCTATCCCGTTTCCAGTGGAATTGGATGACGATGGTTAGTAAAGGCCTTCCTCTGAAATAGTGATCATGTTTTACCAACTAGTAACTGTTACAGGTAATGATTAGTTTAATGGATCAGCCCCCCCAAAAAATATGAAAAACCTTTATATTGCAATACCAGTACATGGGCAACTCATTCGACATGCACATCAAACATCTTACCATATCTCATCTCTGGTTCCTTGGCCTCATCTGCCCATTTCCCTTGGATTCATCGCTCTGCGCAACGCTATCTTCCCGGAACCGCCGTCGCTTCCGCTTCGTCTGGGAACCTTCACCGAGACGAAAAAGAACTCCCCCGGCGCCAGCTGAACAAACTTCACCTGGCGCACCGGTGGCCCGGCCGGAGGTCGACGCCAGGGACGAAGAGAGAGAGAAAGAGAGAGAGAGAGATGAGGTGTGGATCCCCACCCGGAGAAGGTCAATGTGCGCATGTCCGTCAAGACTCAAATCAAAAATATGAGGTAAATTGGTGAGCGTTTGTGAACTGGCAGTGAAGTAACCATCCCCACAACTAAGTTGGTTCTCAACGCTCAAAAGAAAAATTTGTCTCGCCCCGGACCCCTGGTGGACCTTTGTCCAATGCCCAAAACAACCCCCCAAAACCAGCGAGCCATCGGCCTAGAACCAGCGAGCCACCGGTGCAAACGGCTCCGAGCTGCCCCACCATCGAGTCGCCCGATTGCGCCGGCGACTCCAGCGCAGTCGTGAGCTCCTGCAGTGCGGCGCGCTGTCAGGACAATGCCCTGGCCAAGCCCCAACAGAACTGGCATTGGAGGGTGGAGCTCGTTCTAGTGGAGGGTCGGTGATGCCATGTTTTTTTCCATGGTCGTTGTTGGGTTGATTCCCTTTGTGGCCTCTGCTTTGCGCAGAAAATGTTGCGAACGTACGCCCTGTGTATCTCGCAGGCCTCTCCAACTCGTCGATTCGATCCACCAACCCTCTGTGCACAAAGATCGGATCACCCACTGAGAAGTGTAGGGTAGCCGAAAAGCGTAGCACGGGCACGTGCAAGGAAATAACTGGTGACCTGCACTGTCTGATTTCGAGGCACCTACCGAGGCGATCACGATAGAAATGCAGCAGAGCCCCAAAATGTTTGATCTCTGGATATCTCTGACAGGGTCACCAAAAAAATCCATCGAAGGTTCCTTGTTCTTTGTGGTCGCTGTCACCCGTTGTCTGTTTACGGTGCAGCTTCAGCAAACTTGGCCAGACGAGTGGTGATGGTGGTGGTGGGAAAGCCCATAAACAAGTTGCACGACCCCCCCAAAGGAGATCAAGTACACCCGTGTAATGGATCAGTGCCCGCACCCCTTGATGCGCCTTGTAGTAGTAGAGGCACACTCCGACCGCCACCACGGTGAAAGCAACTTAGTCGCCACACGCGTTGCTCGCAACTACCTTTCTGACATGAACATCATGAGCTGACACTCTAGTCACGCTTGGATTGCTTGGCGTTATCTTGGCGTTCTTGGTCCTGGAAGCCCCTTGATACACAGCCTCAGCGCCAGAAAGCAGACACTGGAATTCTAGTGGCCCAAAAGCTCATCCTTCTCAGATAGGCCCCAACACGGCAGCAATAGTATGCCCGCCAATGAACTAAACCAGGGTTCATCCTTCCTTCGGCATTCAGTCAGGGCAACCCTTGCAAATCTGTGTCGTAACGCATCAAAAGGTAATCTCGGTCTTGCCCACTGGTCTGTCTTACTTGCTGGAGAAAAAAAAAGCACTCGTAGAGTGAAAACAGAAGAGCAACGTGAAGCTGTGGCATTCATGGCCTATTGATGACTACCTGTGGCATTCAGTGCCCTACCTCTCCTGCATCAAGTGACATGAACAAAGCTGTTCGCGCTGGTGTCCTTTCTTTTCCCAATCGGTGTTATATGCACCAAAGCCACCCCCACAGTGAGGAAAAATGGTCTATCTGCACGTTCACCCAAGAGCTCGTGCATGTAAAGGCCATATCATCAGCTACCAGAAGTCATAGCTGTTGCAAACATGAACAATACCATACCTACACATTGATACAGCTCTTCAAAGATTATCAAAGCATGGGATTCACAGGAATAACTATAACAAATTGTGCAGATATTCCAGCTTCATATCATGACCAGCCATATTCTTTGCAGGTATACTACTGCAAGAACACCTGCGCATGTTGTCTGCCACAGGCATAGTTTGGGCAACCAATTGACTGGAGTGGTGTTCACCTATATATTTCAGACGAAAACTTATTGCAATTGGTGCTCTGAATGTTTTCTCAGCTCGTGGACGCCCTCGCGACAGCGTATACATCGCCGCCCTCGCGAGCGAGGCGGACCCCGAAAGCAAGCAAGCTTCGGGACCCTCATGGGACCGGGGACGCGACCTTCATGGGACGGGGATTTGGTAAGTTTGAAATGTCCACTGCGCAGAAAGTTCTTTTGGATCTTTTTGGGGGTGCTTATCTATTGGGCTACCCACACCCGCCCTACCAGTTTTTGCCAACCTCACCAGAGCGTGGTTTTTCTCCCCCAAATTCTGCGGAGCGCGCGCCGGTAGGGAGTTGTTGGTAGCGCTCGCATTTCTACTCTTGTTGGGATCTCCATGTTCCATTCCGGTATGTCGGCTTGACCAGATCCTCGGATCTTCACAGATCTTGGAAGGTTGCTACTCAGTTGTCGCAGAATGACACCACGCCAATCATTGGGGTTCATGTAGACATATGTAGACTCTTGATTAATACACATTCCCAATTGAATTGAAGTACCTCTTCATATGGGGGGGTTATTGATCAAGAATCTATATACATATATTCCGTGGAGTGGGAAAAGGACTCTGTCCTTAAAGTCCCAACTCCTTCAATCCCCCAACATCTCCTGCCTCCCGCAGCTTCAACTCGCAGTCAGCTACACAGCTCTTCTGCGCACCGGGAGGATCTCCCCCCATCCAACCACCAACCAACGCGAACCACCAACCCACTGCGAAGACACAACAGCAAGCATGCCGACTGAGTCTATCCCAATACCTGTAACAGTGGATGATCATGATGATGATGATGATGATGATGATGATGATGATGATGATGCTGATGGTGATGGTGATGATGATGATGGTGATGGTGATGGTGATGCTGATGATGAGGATGAGGATGAGGATGAGGAGGAGGAGGAGGAGGATGAGGATGAGGAGGAGGAGGAGGATGAGGAGGATGAGGATGATGATGGTCAGACCCTAAGCATGCCGAACAAAAAAGAAAGCTGCCTCCCGCTCCCTCACGACAAGAACACCACACGACAATTGTATTTTCACCACGACCCACGATCCCGCGGCACCGCCGGTGCAGGTCCCCACACCGCTGGTCGCCACGCGTGTCGCCGACCTCTTTGCGTCGAGGGCACGCGCGCGGAGCACACCGTCCCGGAGCTCGCTGATGTGGTCCTGGCGGTTTTTCAACCGTCACCGTCCCCGTCCCGCAGGCGAAACCGGGGTCCTTCGCGAAGCGAAGAAGCTACCAAGAGAGGTGGCAATAAGTCACGTGAGCGGCAACAAGGAAAATCAGATCCGGGGCCCTGGATCAACCTTCGAAATCTTCAGAACTTGATTGGTCATAAAGTCATGGATGTCTTCGAAATCGACCCAACATACCGTGACAGAGGTTCCAACAGAGGTCCCAGGGTACCCCAGGTGACGGGTCCCTTTTCAGGTCACTTCACCTCTCTTGCTGGGAGCCCGCATGTTCATGCATGTTCCACTGTCTGGTTCTGGGAGCCGCCAGCTTCTGCTGGTCACGGCGCCAATGAGATGGTGGGAGGATGCTCTGCCGCATCTCAGTTGAATGATGGATTTCTGCCCAAATCAGCTTTTCTCTGCCACAAGTGCATTCAGAACGCCTGGTGGGCGCAAGACGGCGCCTCGCGTCGTTTTTTCGCGATACTTTTTCACAGCGCAAGACGGCCTCTCTCCAAACGCAGCCGTGAAGATCGATTCTCTTTGCGTGGGTGTGGGTCAAAACCTCCCAGTTATACACACTGAATTCTGGAACTGCACATGAAATTCACTGCGAAGTGATGGCGAAGTGCCAGAAAAAGATGCATGGAAACCCCAGTAGGTTTGGACCCATACCCATGTCTGGAGGTGTTCTATCCTACATCGCTGCTACGGTCAAGTCACCAACCGTTCGATCGCGGTCAGATTTCGACTTCCATCATCTCGAGGCAGCTGGCCGCTTCAGCCCCTGAGAGAACCGGCTGCGTGCGCAAAAACCCAATCCACTGCTAAAACCAGGGCGCAAAAACCGGGAGATGGGTCGTTAGGTTTTGGGATGTTTGGGTAAGCAGGAGTTTTGAACAGGGCGAAAATAAAGGGATTCAGATGGATTCAGGCCGTATGGGCCCCGCAAAACGGATCCAGCATGGTTGGCTGGTGGATCATGAGTCTGTCGACGAACCGCCCCGTGGGCGCAGAAAAAGAGGTTCATGAAGGTTTCAAGCAGCAGGAAGACACGGGCGCATCAAAAGAACAGTTGGCTGACGTGTTTGCCCTTTGCGACCCGTGGGAAAACAGATTCGTCCCTTTGGGCACCAAATCGAAGACCAAAAGCAAGCATTGGCCCAGCTTCAGTATGTCTGCACTCCCCCTTTCCAGCTGAATCTGCTCTCAAGAATTACCAACCTGAGAGCTGATATGAACAACGTGGAACATTGAAAACACAAAGAAAAACACATTTAAATAAACACACGCTACTAGGAGCAAAGGGCATCGCTACTTGGAACAAGGGCCTTACTAGTAGTAACAAGAAGCTAGTAGAAACAAGAAGCTAAATAGAATAGAAGCTTCACACTTTTTCGGTTTCACCCACCCAGGTGCTCCAGGTGCTCGGTTGTTCACCCGATCCTTCTTTCCGACGGATCGGCCTGACGGTGCACCTCGAACAGCTCGGCACGTGGCAGGGCATAAGCGCCTTTGCCTCGACACACGGGGTCAAAGCGCAGGAAGTCATGGGTGGGGAGAGTAGGTGGGTGGGTGTGTGGGGACATCTATATAGCTGGGTGTGGATTGTGGATGTGGGTATAGGAATGCGTGCAAGTGGGTGTGTAGGTCGGCTCTAGATAGGTGACAAGTGATTTTCCGGGGGGGTGACACTTGGTTGGGGCGAAAGTAGGTTGCTGAGCGATGAATGAGTGCCGGCGGGTACTTCGCATGGAAGGATGGGTAGGGAAAATGGATCAAATGGGCGGTCTAAAGTCCAACGAGCCTCATGAGCACTAATATGGTTGTTGTCTGTCAAACTTCGAAGGTATGTGTCTTCTTGGCATCAGGAACCAATTAGACTACCGTCGACCGTTGATGACCGTTGCTTCAAGCATCACTGTTCACCACCAACCCTGGGACAAACCACGATATCACGCGACACACCACCCATATCGCGCGATCCTACACAGCCCAAGCCCACCTTGCAGGATCTCCTTCTTCTTCTCTCGCAAATCCGCGGCCGTTAACTCATAGGCCCAGTGCAGCAAGGACTGCCGGACCACCGGAGAGACCTGGAGTACCGGTCCACCCACGGGAAAAACCGACCGAGCGGTAGCATCGCGGCCGAGGGGTGATGGAGGAAGCCTCGGGAATACGGATACATGGTATAGACCAGGAGTCACATGCAGTTGGCTTGGTGTTCAATTCCCCCATCCAGTGAGTGGAGGTGAAGTCCACCGCGGCACCCCGACTTACTTCGCTGTACGACCGCTTGTACGAACGCAGAAGACGGCGGATCTCCCAAGGGTTTGCAGGAACCGGTCGTAGGGTGTTCGGTCTCCGGGTGGAACCACTAGACCGACCGACCCACCGCCACCGAAGAGAGCAAGAATCAGGGAACAACATGAAAGCATGTGGCGAAGCGGAGGAATCAACCATCACTCCATGAGAAACCAAAAAGTCCTCATATGGAACCTGGCCCTGATTTCGGGTCATGAAATCCTCTACAGATCTCTAGAGGTCGGGAACTCCACCTTCATGATGAGTAGGCATCAACTGTTCTCTCTTCTCGTTACTATCCACGACTCGATTCGTGGCGCAACTGGACGTGGTCCTGGCCGGCCTTGGGATCATTGTAGGCCCGATTCGCCTTCACGCCTTGACTGGCACCGGTTGACTGAACGGAGTGGAGACGTGGAGTACTCATGTAGATCGAAAAGGTTTGAAAAACCCATTGAAAACAAGTCGTTCCTGCATGCTTCCCGGGTCAGATGTGCAAAACAAGAGGCGATATGATGAGGATGAGATCAAAATTGAAACGCTATAATTGAGCCTATGACTCTTGCATTCACAGCCACACGAAAGCATTGCCGGACAAGGCGGTGGGAAAAGGGACAGCAGGACAAGGCTCGGACAAGGTGGCTTCGGACAGCACGAGTCACACGTACCGTAGACGCTCGTCACATCGCACCCCGCTGCGAGCTGTTCAGCGTCGTTGCACGTGGAGTTCAAGACGTTGCTGTTTCCACGGGCCGCCACTGAACAACTCCAGAAGGCCGAGAAACGTGTGACGTCTCGAGGGGACGTCTTTCTGTGACGGATTGATGGTCCGCCGAAGTGACGACCCGATTTGATGGTCCGCCACAGGGCGGGAGGTCCAAGAAGCACAGGTCTTGGCTCAAGGCTCAGGTCTTGGGTCAGGCGGGGCGAGCTGAGACATATGGGATTGATTGGTGAAATCCAAAGGCTAGATAATCAAAGGTTTTGGCCTACCTCCTGATTTTGGAGCGTCTCATGAGTGTAAGGTGACATAAGCGTCTTGCAGGATTCCACGGGGAAAAGGTTGTCAATTTGGAACCGATCAATAAGGAAAACGTTGTATGTTTAATTACAATGTGTTGGCGATGTTAATCATGTTTTCACCAAATTTGGCCTTGCAGCCCCTTTTTGACCAGCTGACTGTACAAAATCGCACAAAATGCGAAGCACTTGCTACGAAAAAGTTTGCCTTGCAAGCCCTTTGATCAGCTGACCTCACAATATTGCAAAAAATGACAAGCCACTTGCTATTTACCATGTGTGTAGTTTGTTCCTCATGCTTTGAACATTTTGCACCCATTTTTGGATTAGAGCGAGCGAGAGAGAGAGAGAGAGAGCCGAGGGAGCGGAGAGAGAGCGGAGAAGAGAAGAGAGAAATCACATTCCGGTGGATTTGGACACGTTTGGCGACGGTTTGGGGCTCCAGATCACCGAATGTTGGATCGAGTTCCGTATGGTATTTGCAGGTTCGTACACCTCAACGTTCAAAATGTTCGCGGTCAGAGGGAAATTGGGGTGAGTTAGCCAGCTAGCCAGCCCACCAAACAACGCAAGGGAACCATGTTGAACATTAGGGCTACTACGTTACTACGCTGTGGATTTCGCACCTGAGTTGAAAAACCTAAAATCGAGATCTCTTGTTGACATCTGCGTGCACCAGGGCAAGATCTTCCATAGTTCTCATGAAGGCAGCGCCGAGATCCCCAAACCCAAGGCAATGTCTCAACTGCTCCATCAATGAAAAAATGCGTCCCCCACTAAGACACCGTTTATTCTAGATTCTAGATGTCCTCATGTCTTGTTCAGCCATGACCAGATTCACTGATTGCCCACAAACGCCTTGATTTCAGCAGTTAATCCGTCCGCAGGTCCGCCTGTGCATCCCCAACTTAGGTCCTGGCACTTGGCGATGAGGTTTCCTTTCCATCGGCCTCACTGGCGAAGGGTTTCAGGGCGAGGTCCATTCATCTCCTGTTTCAGATGCTTCAGCATCCGTGGAACATGCAATCTCAAGTGTGCGAAGTTGAGGCCTTGCCACTTCTTGGCCTCATCCTCATCCAACCGTGTCTTGAATTTTGCACCCCTTGGCCCCGTTGGCCAATGCACCACATCCAGCCCACAGCTCAGGTTCCAAGATCGTTCGCCAAGCTATACTGCTCAGGAAACTGTAGACATGTTCTGTGACCAGCTCCCCAGCTCCTCACCCCCGCGCTCCCCAACCCAACACCCAACGTTTTGCCCCGACCAAACGGTCTGGGCCTGTCGGGCCGCAAATCTTCAACCAGCGCTTGATCTGGCGTGGGTCGTCCTCGCTTCGCCGCCCCTGAAAGAAGCGGCAGTACCACTGGAACCAGCCATACCTCACGCAGCCGCAGCATCGTGCGCACGGTGCGCAGCATCGATTAGCGAAACTCCAGTCGACTTGATCCGTCGGATCTAGAAACCCTTCGATCTATTCTGTTTTGCTTCGCCAAGGCTTGCCAAAACTTACCAAGCTGCGGGTCTTGCGGATGCATCCACCCTGCGTTTTCCCACTCCTGCAGCGCGGATCGAACAGTCCGAGGGCGCGCCGCAGGAGTCGAGTCGTGAAAGCCTATCTGCTTAGGTGGTTTCAACTCACAAAAACATATCAGTCAGACCAACAGTCAGTGCTTTTAATATATCTTTCAAATCATCCCAAGGGTAAAGGTCTAAAAAGGACAAACGAACCGCCACCGTTCCCTCGCAGACTGGCGGTCTGGTAGGTGCGCATAGCTTTCCCCGATTGGGAACCACAGGGTGTTTTTCACCCCCCACATACCACCAATATCAGATTATGGGGAACCCCCCGACAAAGAAGACTTCACCACAAAAAACAACAACAACAACAACAACAACAACAACAACAACAACAACAACAAAATGATGGCGTTCTTGGAGGTGTAAACGTGTTGCGAAAAAAATTTCCGCATGATTATGTTAAACTTATAGTTATAAGTTGTGTGTGGAGAAAAAAAGAAACGAGTGCGACAGAACCTGGCATGCTCGGTCTCCTCCAAGGTGTTCCCGCACTTCACTCCATAGTGGTTCACGGTAGCCTCATCGAACGACGCGTCCGAACGACGTGGTGTTCAGTCTGCTTCGAAAGAAGCGTTACGAGATGCATGGGAATCCTGCAAGGGTCCTGCTTGGGTCCTAAGGGTACTAAACAGATCTAAACAGAAACCCAGAAGCATCAGGATCTTCTCCTTTTCAGGGCTTTTCGGAGTTCAGGGTTCTTGTATGTTTTCCATGGGCATGCCACTTCAGACCCACTTAGCCCAAAGCATCTATGGGCCACGCAGACACCCCCAACACACCTCGAACTGCGGCGGGCGGTGCTGTGAAGTGGAACACTCGGTCACCCCGTGTAGCTCAATGTCTCGGCGGTATCTCTTCTCCGAAGGATTTGGTCCCAGCTACAATCACAAAATGACTCAGGTAGTCGGTTGCACACCAAAAGCAGTTTATCAAACGTCATCTTCATTCGTCCCATCTGAACCGCAGGCTACATCGCAGCCAGGCGACATCGTAATCTTCCCAGTCACGAGCCACCTCCGGGTGTCTGACGAGATCGGTCCACTGGGTGTCACGGGATGTTTTTTCCCAACGACGTTTGAGCACACAAGGCTCCCACACAAACCAAACGCGGTCCAAACGGCACGGTACTGGACACCAGAAAGTGGAGTCCAGACTCATGATATGATTGCATATAATTGCTAGAAATTGCTAGCATCTACTATGATGCTGCAGGCAAAGCTGCAAACACAGAGCAATCCCCATCTCAGATAGTACATGTCTTTTTGTGTCTGTTCTTCCTTCATTCAGAGCTCTGCCCCAGAAGTCGCATCCAGCGACTGACCCGAACGTCACTCACCCCGGTGCGGGGCGAACTGCGGAAATCCAGCGCTGTACCAGGTTGACATCCCACCAAACCGCTCCGGAATTCGCTTCGTTTCGCTACCCAAACGAGTCGTGCGAGTGCCGTGCGAGTGTGGGAGTGCCGTGCAAGTGCCGTGCCTGGCGCCGGATGTCCAAGCCCTTCAGCCAGCTCTTGGGCAACTCCTGCAGTCGGGCCTAGTCTAGTTATACTGAACATGGCATGGCATGTTTGGAATTGTTTGGATGGTTCTTTTCAGGCCTAGTGTGAGAAAAACATGGGTGAATAAAGAAATCCTCTTATATATGACCCTCTTTGACTCTTTGAGGCCATAGTTCCTTGCAGTTTCATGTCATGTCCGAAAATGCGTAGGATATGCTATGAATGGTGGACCGGACGTCTCTTAGATCAGAAGTTGCATGTCCGAAAATGAGAAACCAAATCAAGTCTGCACAGTGGATTCTACTTGTTTTACGAAGAGATGACGATCTATCCACAACATAACGATAGAACCAGCTTATAATCCATGCATGTGCAAAAACACGCATTCCAAAATAGCCATTCTAACCCCAACACACCCAAATCGCCTCTGCCACCAACTTGCTTGCTGCTTGCTCTCTTTGTTTTAAAAAGCTGAAAAAAATGGTAGAAAACCTGCTTCGTCTCGTCTCTTCCTCCGCCCGGTCCGTCCTTCCAAGCATCCTTGTGCCTTTTCCCCGTGACGGCGGAGTCGATGTCCCTAAAGTAGGTTCCACCTGGGCACTTCTGCAGCGAGCTGCGGGCGGCTGCCGTCCAGTGGTTCTGGAACTTTGGGAGAGATGTCCTCTGTGTTTGGGGAAAGTGCAGGGCGGTTCGGTCTTCTTGTCGAAAAAACAGCGTTTGGCACAAAGCGTTGTCTAGATTCTAGAATGGGTTGAGTGTCTTTGAGGACCCCCAATATTGTTAACTGTTAACTAAGCTTGGCCTCACAAAATGCTGTGGGGCCGTAATCTTCTAAACACTTCCAAATGCCCCTGCTCAGGCCCTTTTTGCTTCTGAACATTAATCAATGCATATCAATGCAGTATAAACATGAAGAGATGCCGCTCACAACAATCCGAAGGCTTCTTTCACCACCCTCATCACCCGAAGGCGCGAAACACCAGGTCGACCAGTGGCGGTCGGGGCACCGAAGGCGCCCAGGTGGAGCACCTCCTTGGGCGTCAGGCTCGGGCGAAAGCTCGAAATCAGCGCTTTCAGCTCCGCGGAAGCACCTGACGTTCCGTCCTTCGTCCATCGGTCGAACCGACGAAGTCCAGCGGGTCGGTGAAGAGGACACCCCGAGGCAACGCAACGGGGTTTGGGCAACGCTGGTGTCCAAGGGGTGTATGCGTGGGCTTCGGTGGTTTCGCAACAAAACGCCGAAAGATGCCGAAAGAACATGTTGAGAACTATGATTTACTTGACCTGTCGTTTCGAGGAAATTTTGGAAGGCCAACTGAACATCAAATGTACGTCCCGTCTGTCTGCTCCTGAACCCTCACTGTTTGAACATGCCTGAATCATCCTGAATCTCAAGAGCAGCTGCTTCTCCGGATTATGAAATATCCACATGTTGCAGACAGCAGATGGCAAATGCTTGGAAACACAACACGGCGCCATGTTACAGGGCATTGAAAAACCCTTATGTTGAGATCAAGATTCAACCTGCTTCAAAATGAGAGCCACATTAATTCACGAAGTCATTGAACCAACGTGCTTCCCAAATGCAGGTCTTCCGGGCAAACTCCAAGCACCAACACTGCTGGAGTGTTTTATGGAGTTTGTTTGTCAAATATTCAGCTTCTTAGCGGCATATATAGATAATATAATAGTATCAGTATGTCACTATGACTCCACCCACAAACTGCTTGGAGTTTAGCTGATTTCGCTGGATCACCAGAACTGGTTCGGTCCGGTTCCGTACCACACATCCGCTCCGTCTCCTCTCCGTCAGCAGCGCCTTTGGGGGCTTGGAAGCAGAGCTGCCCCTGGCGGCGTTTCCCCTCGGGGCACACGAACTTCACCATGGCCACGTGCACCGGTCGCAGCGGTCGTTGGGTGAAAGTCGGTGGTTCCAGGGTCGCCGCGATGTGGCTCTATGGTGCGCTTCTTCAGCTGGCTCTCTGGTGGTTGTGGTCTTTGAGCTGCAAGGATGCATGGGGCGGAGCAAGCAGAGTCGGCGCTTCTCTCAAGCTAGGTATCCAAAGGTTCATTGTGATTATCCCTCGCTCAACAAACTTTGCTTATTGCATCTGATTGCTGTTTTTTGCTGTTGAAAGTCTATTGGGCTTTCGTGCCAAGGCCAGGTGAAGGAGAAAAATGGGCAGTCCAATGCCTCTGTTCCGCAGTGGAGGGATGATGGGCTTAGATGTCATATGACTTACGGATCCATACAGGTTCTTTCCAGTCGACTCGTCATAAGGCTGCAGAAGGGAACCTCTGATCCCTGTCGTTTCTCTCTGACATTGCTGAGCTGAACGCTTGATGTATCGGCCAGGCGAGTGCACATGACAAAGACTAGGCCTCAAAGCCCTCAATGCAGTTTGTCCGTGGGGATGTTGAAAGAACACTGAACACCAGCAACCCCTGAACTAACCCCTGAACCTCTCCACGAACTAACCCCGGTGCATCCCAGAATGCCTCAAGAAGTGCAATCCACGGATTCGGCATATCCTTGCTTGCATGTGTAGTTTCAAAAGGAGGTTGAGTGCTTCTTTGCTGACTTTAAGCGATAGCCAGCTGATGATCAAGTCTGACACCAGACCTCAGGCATTGTGTTGTTCTAATCTCACCCCCCCCTGGGTGCTTTCCCACTTGCAAATCTGGCATGCACTCAAACACACCATGGACTGCATCACACTCCTCCAACGGCATGGACTTGTCCATATCAAGCTCCTCGCCGCACAGGCCAACCAGACAAGCCAGGCCGACACGAAACTCCTTAATGGAACCAGCACTGGAAGTGAACCAGCCGTCTGGTCTGTTTGGATTGAAATGAACCAGCCTTGGAAGTGAGCCATTCCACCAATGGAAAATTTGAGTCTCAGACTCTTCAGCCTCTGAAAGCAACAAACCTCCTCCATCCAACCAGCCACCGCAGCCACCTCAGCCACCAGCCTCCTCGTCAGGGAAGAAGAAGCCATTCACCAGGCCCCGCTGATCGGCTGTGAGGCTTTGGTAGCCTCACAGTGGCGCCAGTGGTGCTGATCGGGTGTGGTCCTTTCAACCCTGAGGACGTCGACGTCAACCGCCCAAAACCCCGTGTCTTTGAGCTTGTCCCAGTGCAGTGCACATTCTCCAAGACCATGTTGTTGATCCAGAGCCATCTATGGCACCCCCCTTGCGTTTGGGGGGGGAAACGCTGGTCCCCCGAACGCTGAGACCTGGGGCCATCCTTCGGGGGTTCTAGTTAACGAACCGACCTGGGAACACCCATCCTCTCATCGCATCGGCTCGAAGGCGCCACCTTCCCATCCGCTTCGGCCCATGCCTCCGCCGGTGGATGCCTGGGCACCGACGTCCGTAGATCTGCGACTACCGAACCTCTGGCGAGGAAACTCAAACCTTCTGACTTCCAAGAGTGAGAAAAGGTTTCACCCCCCAAAAAATACATCCCTGAAAACCATTCCAAACCCCAATACTAGGGGCCATCAGGCTTCTATCAAAAGTGAGCCACGACCCTTCTGAAAATGCCCCCCTCCAGCGGCAGCTCGTGAACCTGCCTGCTCCAGCGCCAGCCTGGATTCGGCTGCCGTGGGTTTCTTGGCCTCGCCGACCTCGCCGACCTTGACCGAGTCGCGGCGGCAGCACGACGCGCCGCGGCTCGACGACCCGAGCGGCGGAGACTGCGGCGCTCCGTCCCCTGACAGAGGCATCGCCGATGGATCCACGGTCTTGTGCCGTGGAGATAGATCTGCAGGTGGTCTCCCTCCGTCGTGGTTTCTTCCGGTGTTCTTGGGTGTGGTGTCGAAGGGGTGTTCGTTTGGGTCAAAGAATGTTGAAACAAGTGCGGGGATCAAGTTGGGAGGTGTTGCTTCGGATGACCTCCCTTCCACCGTCCGTCCGTAGCCGACGTCCACTTCGACCCAACGTCACAGCTTCGAAGTCCAGAAAAGATACAGCAGCGACCAAGTCCTTGAAGGGCCGTCCCAGCCAAATCCGGGTCCGTCCCAGCACCTCAAGACAACCGCCTTTTTATTCTAGGCCGGTGATTGAAGGTCTTGCCAAAGAGTTTTCAGGAACGTCCTGTGACTCAGAAGTCAAAGAAACTTTTGAGAGGTGCCCCAAGCGACAGGCAGATTCCCTTCACTCGCTTACTCTGGCCTGCGCTGCTGGCGCTGCCGGCGCTGCTGCCGCTTCAGCGGACGAGCCTGGAAAGCCGCGAGAGATCTTGAGAGCAGGCGCTGGGGTTCTCGTCGTAGCTTTGGGAGAGACAACGTACATATAGGGCGAATGCTTTGGAGCAAAACTTGGTAAAAGCTTGGAAGGCGCCCTGCGACTATAAATGCAGCTGCTTCTTTTGGAATCCAGTTGGACACCCGGAAAGGTCAAAGGATTCTTGAGCGACTCCAGACTACAAGGGTGGTAGTTCGTTCTTTTACAGATCTGCAGGGATTGCAATCTGTTCATGGTCCATGCTTAGCTGAGCTTGACAACACCAGCCAGTGCAGAATGGGCCAACAGGTGACCAAGTCGTCCTTATCCCATGTCTTTGCATCCATCTCACCATGTATACATATACGTACCGTGCCGTACTACTCATGACGAGTTTCGCTGTCACAAGAAGGGTTGCCCTGCCTTTGGCGCTCTCACTCTCAGCAGCACGGCACACCTCCCAGGCGCAGGTGGTGCAGGCGGTGCAAAGAAAAACACCTGGACCAAAACCGACCGGATGGGTCCAAACATGTGCCACGCGCAGGGTTCCACGGTGCTCCTTCTAATTCCTTCTTCCTTTAGGATCTGATCCTGGGGGAGGCCCCGAAAAAGGGATGTTGGTGGTTTTCCACCCGCATCACCCGCCACTCCACCACCAGATTCATGGAAAAAATGCTCCTCCCCGTTCCTCCCGGTCGAACCCCGCGGTTCTCTCCGGGCGCCTTGGCACTCCGGGCCAGGCCGTTCGCCAGGCCACCCACAAAGCCTATGACCTGGAGATGGATGGAGGTGTGTAAAGCCATGTGAAATCGAATCTGAGATGGAAAGATGTTTCAATGAAAACTCAACTGGAAAGGCACAGTCAGAAGTTTATGCCTTCAAGACAATGCAAATATGAGAAGTGAATGTCTATTGATTGAATAGACCAACACATCCAGCAGGGTGTGTTCGATGCCTTATGAGGCCGCAGTCTGGAGGGTATAAAGTCGGATCTTCCAAGGAAGCTTGGGAGCTCTTCTTTCTGAAAGTATGACATATGTAAGAAAAAGGGCATCCATACAAGATATGAAGAAAACCTCAATGAAGCACATTCAGGTGGCTAAAGGAAAGCCAATCAGCACGTCCAATCATCAAAACGAACCAAAACAATCTCAAAAAAACTAAAAACAAACCTGATCCCCTTCACCACAGCTGGCACCACCGCCACGCCCCAACGGCACCTGCCAGGGCGGCCGGCTCCGCGACCCAGTGGACCCGCTGGACCCGGTCTCTCTGCGCAGGTCGATGCCTGGCTCGGGGCCGGCTGGGTCCGACCGGTGGCGCACGGCCACGCGGCCGGGCTGGGATCCGTGGAGGCGAAATCGAGGCGATGGGCGGCCATGAAGGTCGCAAGCTCAAAAGACTGAGCCAAGAAATGACCCCTTGGGGTGGGGGGGAGATGAGTGGACCAACCTACTAACCAAAAATACACCAACTGACCATGTCCACATGGATCTGCAAGGTAAGTCTACTTGAGAGAGGAGGGAGTGAACGAAAGGTAGCAGGCAATCACAAGTAACCCTGGTAGAAGTCCATGACGGCGTGAACCGGCGCAGGGGGGATTTGATCCAGCGAGTGGGGGGGCCCCCCCCCCCCGAACAGAATCAACTCTTACAGGACCAAATTCAATGCACAATCCCAACTCCTGATTGTAATACATTTTTGCTAAAGCAAGGAGAACTCAGGTAGCTCAAGCTACCTTTCGTGACTTGGTGAACATCCCGTCATTCCATCGTCATCACCATAGCTCACACAGGCCATCTACATACCCTGCAGGTAGTTTTTCGGGTCAGCATGTTGGATTCTCAGATTGTGCTCTTGTGTGAACCGCAACCACACCTGTCACACTGATGAAACTTCGACGTTTGCTGATCAAGAACATGTTACTTCAATCTTATAGATCCCTCACCAACCCCATCAAACCAGCCCCGTCAACACCCCGTGCCACCAACACCCCCATCAGACCAGCCTGTCGGCACTGGTACGGCATGTGCCGGACCTCGGACCTGCCGTTCGCCGAATGGCCTTTGACTGGATCTCACATTTCAAAAGTGCAAGGAGAAGCATGAAACCCAAACAAGGCACACATGGTTGAGAAGATCTCAACGATAAGGGTCATTTATAATCAATTCATATTTTGTGGCCATGATGCCTGAGTTCTGACCATGCAAAATAATAGCCCGTTTCCGGAACAAGGGGTTGCTTTTCTATGTTTTTTCTTACATATCTTGAGCTGGTGAAGAAAACGAGATATGAAAGACTGCAATCAAAACTGCGCCTAGATACGACCATCTTCGACCCATGAGGTGTTTTGGGGCTTAAAAAGGTTTCGACATATCCGGTGCATCGGAGTCCGGAACGGATGGCACGGCAACTCGGTTCTTCGGGTCTTCGGATTTTACGCCCAACTCCAGCCGCACATGGTCAACAAATGTCAACTATCCTGCTCACCATGTGGACACGGGATCCAACCCAGATTTGGGGGGGATTGCGGGTACTTTTTTCAAGAAATCCAACCCATGCTACCCTGGTCGCTCGATGGAAATGCTTTTATATCCGTTTTGGGCTGGAAAACGGCCACTCCGGCCTCGGGCGATCGGACGCCTGGCGCGGCGGGCTCGCGACATCGAGGAGGGCGAGCAGGAAGGGATAGGATGGTGTACGGTGTAGATTTCATAATATATTATATACGCGCAAACTATGATGGATTGATATAGGTCTCAAATTCATGCGGATGCCTCCAAGTGGTTCGTCTATGTCACTACGTCTTCGTTCGTGAAGAAAGTACACATAGGTACACGTTTTTCATCGATCCCTCGTTGAGAAACAGGTTGGATCCACCACGATCGATGCGGTCGTTGGATTCTTCAAGCTGAGCGGTGGCGGTGGCGGTGGTGATTATATAGTGGCTCATCCGGAGGATGAGGATGGATTCTACCAACGTTCTTGTTCTTAGAACACATTTTTGTGCATTTTTTCCATGGTGAGGTCATGTCGCCCCATGTTGGTAGTTATTTTATAGTGGAAAGGGTGGCGGGGATCCGAGTTCACTCAAGTTCGAGTTCCACAAAGCTGTGCTAGAGTTCCCCCCCAACTTCCACCGCTCCAGCACCTCCAATGAAGGCAGCCATCAGCCTATGTCACGACATCTTCGCTCTCACCCCCGACGACATTGGCGCTGACTCGGTGCAGGTCCGGTTCCGCCTCCGACACTAGCCACGCCTTACACTGCAGCTTATGGGTCATCATTGGACACCCAGACAGGAAGCACCAGCATAGTTTAGTGAGGTGACCATTTTTTTTGGCCCGAAAACCCCGAGAATCCTAGGCGGGCAAACCATCACCTAAACTACGACGTACCAACGAATCCCTTCCTGGTGTCTGCAAAATCAATTGCTTGCTTGGCTGTAGGGCTCAACCGCAACAGGGGAGATGTGCCACCTCAGGGCCACACATCTTTCTATCCAATTGCTTCCGCTTGAAAGCATGATTCGATATCAGTCTGGACTTTGCCACGAGTCTGCCCCCAGCATCGATGACCTCAAACGACTGTGCGTCAACTTACCTGCGAGCCATGTCATGATATTTCGTGCCTTCCCACCCAGCCACACCCAGCCACCGCGCCAGAGAAAGCGCCACCCAAACCCACGTGTTTGGGGAACTGGCCGAAGACGAGCCAAAGCGACTGCGGATGCGGTGTTGGAACGCGCTGCAGTCGTATGGCGCAGCAGGCGTCGACCGATCCGGAAAGGCCGGTGGGCAGCAAAACCCCCAAAACCTGCTAAGTGGACTGGAGAACACTGGTAACCAGGCAACTGTAACCGTTCAGACCCCACGAGCCTACCTTTTCGGGTGTGAAAAACCTCTTGCAGCTGAGTTGAGAGCCAAATTGAGGATCTTGCTTCGCCGGTCTTTGTATTCTGCCGTCATCTGGATAAGCCTCTTAGGGCATGGCACGTAAAACGATTGCTCCGGGACGTCCTTCCTTTTTTTGGCTGCGAAACGCGCTCTGTGACAGGGGATGACGCCATGCCCTGTGTGACGCCTGAGACTGAGATTGAGGACACGCCAACGACTGAGATTAGTCGTGGACCCTTACAAACGTCTCCAGAAACCCTGAACATCTAGCATTGCAAAACGTCTCCAGAATGTCAACCAGTGAGGCCAAACGTTGCATCTTCCCTCAATCCCTCTAAGGCGGTGAGTTCCGACCGTCGATCATCTGTCGCGATGGCACCATCGCGGGTTCGGCGGTCGTCAGCTTCGGCGCGGGCCGGTTCCGGCCACGTCTCGTGTCGCTGAGGAAGGATTGCGCACAGCCTGTTGGGCCCCCCAAGTTCGAACCGCTCAGAACCCGCTAGCCGCTAGCGAAACCGATAGAGTTTGGAGACTCAATTCTGAGTTTGGCCCAAGCTTAAAAAGCCAAAGCCTCTCAGATTCCAACAACCCCAGCTTTGTTTCCTCATCCAAACCTTCCAATGTTTGGTTCTTTCAGGTCGCCGTGGTCATTCACTACGCCATTGGGGACCCACCGGACCGGTTCCATGTCCTCCCAGGTTCACATCGGAGTTCACCCACTGGTAACGAAGAAAAGGAATGTTCCGCACCATGTTGTCATGGTCTGACAAAAGCCCGCGAAAGGACGTGAGGCTCCGGGTCCAGGCTGTCAGGAGCTGGATCATTTGGATCTGGTAGCGTCTTGCCCGGAAAATGTCTGAGAACCAAACGTCGGAAGCGCCAAAGCCAAAGCCTTCTGTTCGTTCTGACTTGAGAAACGACAGCATCGATCTACTGTGGATCTACCAGATCTTGCTTCAGCTTTGGCTCGCCGCAAATGTGATGCCACCATGCGGTGCGGCGAGCCACTGAATGAAGTAGGCTGGGTCATCCGCATTGATTCATCATCCACGAATGATCGATTCATCTTCCACATAACTCTTCTGCCACTTGGCTCTGGATGGGGTGGATTCAGGTTGCTGTGCACAAGCCAACGATCTTGCAACCTCTGGCTGTGGGGGGGTTGTTTCGCGTCCTGGACACGGGTCCCGTGGAAAGCCATATCTGATGGAAGAACCAGTGGGCAGCCCACCCGGCATTCCAAGCCTTCTGGGCGGGGTCGTTGTGGGATGAAAATTCATGGTAGGCGACGCCCTTATGGATGAAGGAAGCGTTGTGCAGCAAACAGTCGTGCATTGCCTTGGCCCTCAGTTTCTCGGTATAGAGGTCTTCTAAGGTTACCAAGTTGCCACGAACCAATCGCCTGGACAGGCCACTATAAGATGTTTGGGAGCATGAAACCATCCTAACAGATTCAAAACTTGAATTTGGCAGCCGAAAAAGAACTCTTCAATCACATACGCGTTTGCTAAATTTAAATAGACTTAAAATTTACCTATCCTTTTACCTATCCAATCACTTCTCTTTGATATCTTTGGTATGTGAGGAGGTCTATATCTCAATTTGGAGACTTCAAACCATAAACCATCACCCAATCTAATTGGCAAGATAGCTAGGCCGATCGACGGGGGGTTGCAACGGGTGCCAGAAGAAACAAACCGCCGCTGCGTGGGTCAACAGCGTTCGGAGTTCCGTCGGCGAAGGGCGGCCTCGCTTCGCCGCGGGTCCGAGCACCGGAGCTGTGGTCCGAGCACCACTGCAGTCGGAAGACTGCTTTCTTTTCTGCCTTTGGGGGAGCCATTGGATCAAAACACCTGGCAAGCTGCACCTGGTTCCTTGTTTAAAGCAACAAGAAAAGTGAAGTGTCACCACGAGTGAAACAACCGCGAAAATGAAAAATAACAAAACATGCGTGCTCCGGTCCACCTTTCATCCCCAAAAGAAAGGAATCCTCTTTGTCAACAGGTCCCTTCCTCTTCCAACAAAAGCTCCGGTGCTCCGTTCCCGTTCCCGGCGCGCAGGAACTCTCTGGCGGCCGCCGCGCGGCCGGGCGTCATCTACCCTTGACCTCACCTTCATAGATGGCCTGGCGCCACACGTGGAGAAGGCGCCCCAACCGGTCGCAGAGGCGCGTGGCAAAATGGGGGCCGACGTTTTTGCTGACGACATTCTTGGGTTGGGGTGATTATGCGTTGTTGGTTTTAGTTGCGTTCAACTTATGTTTGTTATTTGTAGTGTCTTTTTGGTGGATTAGATGTTTCATTGAGTGTTTTTTAATCAGTAAACAACAATTTTCAAATGAACAACACCCCTGAAATAGTGTCTACGTTTTTTGCTGAAGCGCTTCTTCGACGTGTTTTGTTACTATTATTGGTTTGTTTTTGTTTTAAACAATAGCTGCCAACGGCTTTTAACAAAAACACATGCGTAATCATAGTTGAAAGAACCTGTTAAAAATGTTAAAAATGACACACCCACAACGTCAAAAAATCCGGCTGGGACTGGGATGATTTTGTTTGCTTATCTTGAAATATATTAGGATTTTTTCTGATATAGTGTCCAATAACCCATCCTCTACATTGCGGCTTCACCACATCCCTGGGTTTGCCGCTCCCCGCGGGAAACGGCCTCCAGGCGCCGGCCGTTCAGGTCGCCGCCGTGGTAGCGCCGCACCGCGTTCTGTGCGTCTGGCCTTTAGACGATTGCGTGGGGCGGCGGCACAGCTCCCGTAGCGTGGACCGCGTTCCGCTCGTCCTTTTTGGGCTTCCAAGCAGCAGTTGAAATTCATTGGAACATGTTGAGTCGTCCCGAAGGTCCAATGAAATCTCCAATACTTGGCAGACTATATATAGTTAGACTCTGTTATGTCCAGTATCATCTCCGCCATCACCATGTGCTCCGTTCTTCAATGGCTCGGCTTCTTTCTGAGGGCCCCCCACATCGCCGCGAAGATGATCACGGCGTCACCGGTGGCACGGCCCGCGCCATCCCGAAGGAGGTCCACCTGGGGCGGTGCCGGCGGTCCAAACGTCGGTCCAAACGAGTCTATACTCTTCTGATGAGTCCATACATCTAAATGTCCCTAGCCGCTCGCTCAGCTTGGGCTCTAGGACTCTCTTCACGCCTCTGAGCCTCCTAGCACCCTTGGTTCCTTTTTACGATTTTGGGCGCTAAGCGCTTAAGCCTCTAAACGCCTCTAAGCCAATCCTGTTCACACGTCTAGGCCTCTTCGTGTCCTGAGCCGCTTGCTCAACTTAGGCGCTGCGATGCTTAAGCCTAAAAACGCCTCTAAGCCTCTAGACGTCTCTAAGCCTCTTCACGCCTCTACTTGGGGGGGCGCGGCCCTGCTCATAAGTAGTCGCGCTGTCAACGTTATAGCTCAATTTATTGTACTGCTCACAAAGTCCATCATGTGAAAAAACTCTATTAATTAAGCCCTACATATTGCAAGCAAGTGGAAAATAAACAAACAAGCCAGCTCTGTACACCTGCTCAGCAAGACCACTTCATATTTTTCCAAGAAAAATCCAAAGATCGCAAAGATATGTGCTTGGATGGTCGCTTCGGAGCAACAACGCGCGATGGCTACACACTCTCGTGGTAGTGGACATTTGTTGGAAAAACGAAGTCCAGCAGATGATGACGCAAGCTCACGCTAGCCAATCTAGCTCCTGGTCAGTCACCAAGACTAAACACAATCAACTCAAGATCGGGTTCAGGTTCTGGTTCACCTCAACCAGCCACACTGCTTCCTGTACACATACTAATTCAATGATTCACCTTGCGCTCATACACTCCATCACTCGAAGTCACGAACATCCAAGCTGCGGATCGTCTGCAAGAACAGGCCGGCATTCAACCGCAGCCGCAGCAGGCCAAAAGCTTGGGCTTCCTGATGCCTTTCCTGAAGTGAGAGGAGATCCGAGTTTCTGAAGGAGAAGGAGCTTGTCAGCACGATTCATCCGTGGCACCGTGGGCCAAGCTTTTTCCGTCTTCATGTTGTAGAAGGTCCTCAAACTCAAGCTTGAGTTACAGTAACTCCCAAAGCATTATCAGATTCAGCAGGCACAGGCTCAGCGATCACGGAGAAGAGGGACCCCATCATGTACCGGATAAGGTGCAGGAGGGTCCTGGCGTGGCCGAGGTAGTTGGAGGCCTCATCAAAATTGTTTGACATAAACACAAAAATGAATTCACACCCAAGTCGAGAGCACACCAGAGACCTACAACCCAAGCAACCAGACACAATCGGAGACAAGCCAGAGACCTGCGACACAAGCAACTATATAGTAGACAGAGCCAAAAACACAAGCGGAGACAAGCCGGAGACCTACGACCCAAGCAACCAAACACAATTGGAGACAAGCCGGAGACCCAGGACCCAAGCAACTAAACACAGACCGGAGACCTACGCCAAGCAACTAGACACAGCCGGAGACACACTCGGAGACAAGCCGCCTACAACCCAAGCATGTAGACACAGCCAACTCGCTTGCGGTCTGCCCCTCCGTCGAGCGGCGCATGCGGCCCAGAGCGCACCTCCGGTCAATCTCAGTGTGGAAGCCAACCCACCGAGATTAAGCGGCGAGCCTTGTCAGCGCCGGCGCTGCTGGAGCCGCCGCCGCCTCCTTGTGAATGGTCACGCTGTCGTCCAGACATGTTTCCGGCTCGACATGATGGCTAACTGCTGCGGGAACATGCAAAGTCTCTAGCACCAGCCGCGCACTGTCAAATGGATTTGCTTTACGCAAACGGATATCTCCCCTGCCTGAAGTCTAAAAATCTCAAGATCTGAGAGTTTTGTTTGTGTTTCCAAGGTCTAGCGGAAGAGGCTCTACCGAGCAGGGCGAATATTCTTCAGGCGGCGAAATCGAGCTGTGATACGAAGGGGCGCTCACACAAGCGCAAACTTGACTAGGCAGTATGTGTTATACCACATACCGCCTCAGATTTCTTTCTGGCATATCTTCTGACATTCTTTCTGACTTTTTCATCTGACATTCTTTCTGGCGTATCTTCTGACGTTCTCTCTGGCACATCGTCTGACATTCTTTAGTGCCACTTGCTTGAAGTGCCACTTGCTTGAAACGCCAGGCCTCGCAACGAAGGAGGGAGTGGCGCTTGACGTGGGCAGAACCAGCTGTACTCAGAGAGCTCCCCGGTGTTTCTTTGGTGGATCGACCAAACCTAGTGTGTTCAGGAAATGCTGAGGTTGGTGCCTCAATCTGCAGTTAAACCATCGACTGCGAATACATCAGTTTCAGCACTGAACCAAACGTGGTCCTTGTTTCTATCATTTACAGTAAGTGTTCGTTTTTACCCAAAACCAAGGATCCTGGGAGAGGACTTCGACTTCCGATGCTTCTTCCCATCTGCTTCTTCCCATTCGTGGGTTTCAGGTTTTTAAAAGACTTCGGAGTAAACACCATCCAGACCGCTCGGACCGACCATCTCAAGCTCACCTGCAGGTGGCGCCTGCAGGTTTTCGCAGAGAAAAGGGTGATGTTCCCAAAGTCGTTAAAATGACAAGAGTAAACCTTTTGTTGCCTTTTTTTTCACCGGACACCTACCATAAAGCCTTGTTGATTTCCAAGGAACTCGTAAACCCTGCGGTGAAAATACCAATGATGGTATGTATGAAGATGTGAATGATTTAGACACAGACTCGACCCGGCCAACGAAATCATATGATTCATTGCATCCAGCAGTGAGGCACGCTCTAAACCTGGAAATGCTTGAAGCATCAGAAGCGTTCACTGCAACGAATTCTGAAGGAATAAAACGTCGGGGTATAGTCGAAGCAGCGACCGGCCACCCATGCTCATCCCACACGAATCATAGTGGTTCCAAAGTTAGCCCAGCTGCTTTACTCCAATGTGGCGGCGCTTGGGCGTTGGACGTTGCTTTGTTTGGGCTTCTGGACGTTGCTTTGTCTGGGCCTAGGCGCTTAGGCGCTGGCCGTTGCTTGGTCTGGGCTTACGCGCTTAGGCGCTGGACGTTGCTTTGTCTGGGCTTAGGCGCTTAGGCGCTGGACGTTGATTTGTCTGGGCGGCTTGGGCGCTTAGGCGCTGGACGTTGCTTTGTCTGGGCTTAGGCGCTTAGGCGATGGACGGTTGCACCGCTACAGGAATTGTCCTGAAATTCTCCAGGATGTGGTGGGATTCTAGGGCCCAGTGCTTATTAAAAGCTGGCAGCTGGCTTTCTTCGATTGTCAACTTGCAAAACAAACGCAGATGACCTGACCATTCCCAAAACTCACCAGCCTCTGAGGCTTCTCTGGCTTGCTCGTGGTTCGTTTGGCTTTGCCAAACAGTAAAACTTTAAAAGGCTGGAACTGAAACAAAGCATCCTAAATCATCCTGGGTGTCTTGCCTGCCCTTGGATGAGTAACCCTCTAGTATTCAAGTGTCTGGCAGCAAAATATCTGGCTGAATCTGGCAACAGTTGAGGTCTCTCGATCTGCAAAAAGGGGCTCCGTATTTTCAAGGGCAAAAAGCGGGATTCACTGACTTTGCAAAGAAAGGCAAAAAGCTAACGGTGGAGCTAGAAACATGTTTAGCCAGTCAGTGAAGAACCATGGTGTCATCCAAACAAAAACAGGATATACAGTACCAACATCAAAAGGTGCACCTGATCAAACACAAAGCCAGGCCCATTTTCCCCAAATGACTTCCCACCTGCTCTCCCTGCAAGCCTTCCCGTTTCTCGTCCCGAGTGCCCCGACGGATTCCACTCGACTGCTAGACACTTCTGTGAAGGCCTGCGACTGCTGGGATATTGGGTCGCGGTGGCAAAGCTCTGACCGTGAAGACTCTCAAAGTACGGATTATGTATTCAAATAGGGAGACCCCGACTTGGTCTAGTGGTCTGACTAGGAGGCCTTGTGTCTAAAAAAGCAGTCAAAGTGATGGATCAGTTATGAACATCAGAGTCTTTTTTAAGAAGGCACCTTCTTCAAATATGCCAAGAAAGAATATAGATCTCTGCACAACATGACCTCGTGAACCAACATTGACTCAAATTGACTCCTGGCTCCACCAGCTGCCACTGCCAAACCTCACAAAATGACCTTCTCCATGAAGTCATTAAAAGTTCCGAGTCTTCTCCGCCTCAAAATGACCCAAGAAAGCCCAAAACCCATCCAAAAATTCTCAACTCTCACATGCTGAGTGTGGAAACCACCAACAAAAACCATCCAAAGATCCCAAACCCTTCACCACCATTTTCACCTTGCCGTTTCACACCCCCGACACCGCCTCCGCGAGGTCCTTGGCAGTGAGCTCCTGAGGGATGTTGCTGAGCCGCACCTTCGAGACACGTCAACAGCATCCCGGGCGTCCACGGGCGTCCCGCGCGGCCACGGGCGTCCCGTCGTCCACCACCGGGTTGGCAAGGGGGTGACCATTCCATCTGTGCAAGCAGGAGATGAAGTATAGCAAGACAAGTATGTCCCACGAAAGTGGCCGAAGTGGTCCTTGATTCCAGCAGGCTAGCAATCATTGACCGCCTAAAAGAACCTCGGCAGACTGAACCCCCATGAATCAGTCTTCCAGTAAAAGGCTTTCCGCAGCCCTTAATGTCAAAATCCAAACTCATCGAGGTCTGCATCGGGTCAAAGCGAGCGCTCCCAACGATTCAATCGGGGCTTCGACTTACCGAGCACTCCCGTGTCCGCTGCCTGAAAGCCCTGCGGCGGCGGCGGGCCCGCTGGAGCCTTGGTGAAAAGAGGTGCGCAACGAAAGAGATCTGCAATGGTAGTTTGCTTTTAACTCCTGTCCTTCCCCCCTTTTTCGAACTGGAGGTCAAGGACCTAGGATGACCCAGCTCGTATACCGCTTGGAACTCGATCAGTGTCTGGCAGCCAAGCAGGTTGCATGTGAAGCTCTTACCTCGCCGAAGGCTCAGAGTCTGGATGCCAGACTCTCAAAGAAAATGCCACTTACTGGATAAACAAATATATCAAAAGAAACTAATACCTGCCAGCATCTTCAAATCTCTTTTGGGATTCCAAAGTGATTTGTGAAGCTACGACCTCCTAATCCGGCGCCTCCTTTGGTTGCTTACTATACTAATCCGTGCAACCCGAAGCCCCACGAAGCTGGTCAGACCGCTGCGGTGCCGAATTGCCCCAAACCATCTCAGACCGAAGGGCTCGCTCTCGATGACCTCGAGATCCACACGACGGGAAACGCTTGCTCATGTCGCCAATCGGGGGGGGTTGACAGGGTTTCACGTGATTTGGAACAACAATGCTTCGTGTGTCTTCTTTTTTTCGTTGGCGTCTCAAACTCTTTCGTGGATGATGTGGATCATTAATGAAAGGGTGCAAATCTTTTTAGAGCCGCACATGGGAACATCATGGGCTCTCGCTCGGCCGCTTTTTTCCGAAAGGGCGTTCGGCTCAGGCCGCAGGACGCTTCACCTGCGGCATGCTGCCGTATCTCCAGAGTGATTCGTGAGTGGACTCGAGGTGTACCAGGGCATTTGCTCTTTAAGGCCTTTTGATTGAAGCTCGAGAGCTGGTCATGCTATTTGTCTCGCCTTTTTTCGAGCCATGCCCACCCATCAAACCACGTGGGTTTTTCCTCGAGGAGCCACCCCCAAAAAACAACCCTTATTTGTGACAAGCAAACTGCCCAATGTTTACGGCCAAAAAAGTTACTTCAAAAAAAAAAGAAAGGGTCTCACGGGCCTTCCCCAGCAACTCAAAAAACACATCTTCAGCTTCCCAAGCCTTCACATCTTCGAAGGGCAAAGCTCCTCGAAGGCGAGACCCACCTGGTGAAGCTTCGAGAGATTGAAGACCCTTTTTGTACGACACCACCATCAAGTCCCAGTTCAGGTCTCTCAACCTCTCTTGGAAGGTCGAAGCTTCATGAAAGAAGCAGGGTGCACAACGAAGATGAAGAAGCAAAACCTCCCCATCCAGCTAAAGGATTCTGGAGTCAGGACTAGGGAAATCATGGGAATTGGAATACTGTTGAAAATGATTGAGCCCAACGTAGGTGGTGACATCTACACGGCCGTTATCACCACGCAACATCTCCACCTTTTCACAACGTTTGAGCTGCCAAAAAAAATGGATCCTGGGAGACCCACCCACGAACCGATCCTGGGAGGCTCACCCACGAACCACTTGGTCTTCGTAGACTTGGGGGGGCACCTCCCGGATCGATTGCCTTTCGGATGTGTGGCTTGGCTCGGGAGTCTCCCCCTGGGTTCGCTCGAGCGAACGAGGCTACCCAGCCAGTGGCGAAGTTGGGTGTCAGTGGCTCCCTATCAAAAAGGCACACCCACCACCCAGCTACCAGCACCACGGAAGGGGGGGGTTTATGGACACCCCTGACTATGTATGTTCCATCCAATAACCACCTTCCGTGGTGCTGGTATCATAATATATGACTCTTATTTATGCAAATAATTCGTCAACCGTAAACCCATCCTCGGGCACGATCCGGAAGCAGCACTGCTTCGGGCGTGCTGTTTCGGCAGTGCTACACTAGACCCATACTAAATTATACCAGGCGCGGCCAGTCAGTGTGGCCAGCTCTTTTTCTCAGATAGAACCCAAACAGCAAACTGTTTGGGGAACTAAAGCCCCTATGAAAATGATGAAAAGACAGGACCCTGAACTCAGATTGGTTCCCCAACTAAGTCCCTTTCGAATCACACCTCCGGCCTCGTCCAACACATCGGGCGCCACCATGGAGCGCTTCTTCTTCTCGAAGGCGATCTGCCAAGACGACCGACGACCGCGGTGCACTGGGTGCGGGTTCGAATGGAGGGAGTGTCTTTTCGGGGCAGAGACAGAGGTGGATGGCAGGAATCCAACTTTATAGTATCGCATATCTGCCGACCCCTTGCGGATTCGGCACGGGGAGTGCGTGAGAGGAGGTACGAGTTGTCATGGTGTTGAGGGTACGAGCACGGTGTTGAGTTAGAGAATCTGGGGCCGCACTGGGAGGACAATTGTTTGATGATTTTTGGTCTCGAATTAGATGGTGGAAAAGCGTGGCGGAGGAGATTGCCGGGAGCCTTGGAGGGAGGGTACGAGCATGGTGTTGAGGGGAGGAGCTTGTGTGTCCGACACTTTGGACCTTCTGCGTCTCAATGATAAGAAGAGCCGACATCGACGGATCAAACAGCAACCTCCCTCTGAACGCTTCCCCCCCACCGCGATCCCCCAGGTCCTTTCGACCCAGGGGTCGGCGGCAGGGGGCGTAGCCCTTTCAATTTTATATACTATATACAGTATATGCATATGAGGAACCAATGTTTGGAAAGGTTTAAGATGATTTGCGGAGGTCTAAACCAAAAGTAATAATTCAATCTGGTGACCGTACTGCATGACGCCAGGACCACGCGTCCATCGATTTCCACAGTTCCAGATCATCATGGTTCCTAAAGGACTAAAGGCCTTGGCCAAAAACTTCGTTTTGGGGGACTATTCCTCGTGACCCGAAGTTTAAAAAAAAAAACACAACATGATCACTCACGGAGAAGGGCCGTTCTGTCTACTCTTTCGGGGCGGTAGCATCGAAAACACACACGTGAAATGGACATGTGCACAACATCTTCAAGAGCCTCAGCTTCCACTGGTTCTGACCCCAAAACCATCCCACACCATGCATCCCTCAAACAAGATCTTCGTAGCGCGGGAAAACAAATTGGAAAAACATCTCCCAGCACTCACAAAGGGGTGCCTGTGTCACATCCACTCACGGACTAGAAAACCACCCAACTCCATGTGACTCCTAAGCCCCACACACCCAGCGGTTTCGTAGGCGCCTTGCAGGCTCGCCGCACCAGCATACACGCGCACTGGCAGGCGATCATGGGATCCCTCCGCCGGGCCGCCGCCCAGCCGACGAGCACCGCTAGGCCTCGGGTCACCCGGCTTCGAAGGTGGCAGAAAATCCCAGGCCCTGGGTGTAGCTCCAATAGGGAGACCTAAGGCAAACAAGCCTCTGGGTGCGAAGGGAAATAGACCAGTCCTCATGACAATATATAAACTCACATCCTACACCAGAAATTGTACCCTGTTCTTTGCGGCTAGTTTGGGTTCAGAGGTTCTCCCAAAAAAAGAACCGGCCGTTCCGATTTGAGCCGTTCCCAACTCTCCGATCAAGCCTAATCCTCTCCGTGCCAAGCAACTTCCAGCCAGGAAGTCCCCCAAGCCGCCTCCGCGCGAGCGCGAAGACGAACGTCTTCTTCGCGTTCGTGCGAAGAACACGCAGAAGGTGGAAGAAAAGGCGTTGCAACGGATCGGCCAGGCCTCGGCCACCCATTCCGATCCGTTCAGCCATATCTGCGAGTGAACAAACTTCGCTTCCAAATCGCATTCGGTCGTATCTGGGCCTACACTCTTCCTAAAACAAGGAGTTGGAAGTTGGAAGACCCCAAAAAGGAAAGTGAAAGCTTGCTCTTCGGCTGCGCCGGGGATTCCTGCACCACTCAATCCCAAAAGGATCCTTTTCCGGGCAGAGCTCTTCGAAACCTGCCACCCAAGTCCAGCAAAGACCGGGAACCCCGCCGCCACCGAAAGCCCCCGCCTGGCCGGCGTGGTGCGCCTTCCTCCCGGCAGCTCAAGACCTCGCTGCCCGGCCGCGCCATCTGGTCCACGGCACCCTGCGGAACTCCGCGGCGCAGGAAAACGCGGAACGCACGGCGTGGAACGCAGCGCGTTCAACACGCACCACGTGGAGATGCGCCGCCCGCTCTTCCTACGACGGTGGGTCGAGGGATGGAAGGGGAGGAAGGGACAAAGGCCCTGGAAAGTCAGAGATTTGACATGAAGGAAAGGATGCGAATGCTTTGTGAACCAAAACTATCTGCTCACGAGCTTTCTTTGCTCACTTCAAAAAAGGGTATCCTTCATAACTGGTCGTTTCATGATGTTCCATGTCTTTTCTGGATCACTCGATTGCACCTTCTGGATGACCACGGGGCCAGCCAACTTCTCACAGAGCTGCAGGAGGGTCTCCTAGTGTATCGAAAAGTCTCTCGTTTCCCCGTTCGGCTGCACAAAAAATGATGATGAGAACCAATCTCTGTCTTGAGTGAAACTCATTTTGTATAGCGTTTAACCTCTGAGGATTCGCACACCGTTTGGTCTTCGGGTCGTCGAGTCTTCGTTACAAGAAAACCAGGGACAGGTGGAGTCGCAGGAACCTCCCACTTGGAGGTGCAGGAAGAGATACTTGGGTGTGTATTTTCATAGGGAACCCTCCCCAACTGACGGGTAGACGGTAGACTGGTCTACGTATTTTCCGAACCGAACGTGCCGGGGGTCGGGGGTCGGTCGAACCGACCCCAGCAATCAGAGAGAGAGAGACCGACCTTGCCCGGGTGTCGGTACACAAGATGACACGACCACTTCGGTACACAAAGTGTCATTTCGCTCCAATAGAAATACAACCTCTTCAGACCTAGTTCTCATTCTTTCGGACCAGCAAAAACACCTGCTCTTCGTGCGCTGTTCGGAGTTGGCCCGATGAAACGGTGGGAACGGTTGGCAGCGATGTTTCAATGAAACGAGGGCGTCCCCGGCAGCAATCCCATACGCGACGGCCAGCTGAACCACTGACTCCGCGATGGTGATGCTTCCCAACGAGATGCATTTCCATACGTATCATACGTGACAAAGCCAGCCGAACCAGGCTGAGTCATGCAACAACTTGCAGTCCGCCGGAAACACATTGTCCCCAATGTGGGTCACTGAGTTGGGGATGGTGACAATTTCCAACGAGCTGCAGTTCTGAAAGGCATTGTCCCCAATGTGGGTCACTGAGTCCGGGATGGTGACGCTTCCCAACGAGCTGCAGTTCTGAAAATCAGAATGCACAATTCTTGTCACATATTGCGGGATTTCAACCGCCCTCAAAGAATCCAAGTTAGTCGCGCTGCCAGACGGAGCAATCATACCGCTTCGATCAGGGCATCTCAGTGGAATGGATTCCTTGAAAATGACGGTCAAATTCGAATCCACAGAAATGCCAGCAGTTTCGTGTCGTTGTTGTTCAGCCACTGGTCATCTCCGACAACAACCTCCACCCCTGTTGTCTTCCACCGCCGTTGCTTTCTGATCCACACCTTGAGTTCCAGGCCAGTCATCTGTGGAGTGGCACTAAGAACCATGACTTCGCCGTTGAGCTGCTGAAGTGATA